AAGTCCTCCCACAAACCTAGAAGGCTGGGGGTCACTGCCACATCTTACAGAGAGGGTGACACGTCCAGAGGGGTGGCACGTGCAAGATCACACAGCGAACAGCTGGGACTAGAGCTTTGCGTTCAGGCATCACTTCTGAGAACTGTTCCTCTGCCGGCTACCTGGGGCCCAGCAAGACCCACATTGGGCTGTGTGCGCGCATGCGTGCAGGGGGGTATCTGCATTGCATCCTTGGGAACTAACACAGAACAAAGAAATCTGTGAGAATTGGAAAAGGAGGCTATTGACCTCCTGAAGGGGTCACTGAGGGATCAGAAAATTGAAAGAAGTCAGACTCATTTCTGGTGCTCTCTGTTCTTCCAATCTTTCCCCATCCACCCGACCTCAGGGCCTTTGCCCATGCTGTCCCTGCTGCTGGAACACCCCTCCTTCCCAGTGAACTTGTCAGTCCCAGTAGGGCGGACTGGGTGATTTCTGCCCAGTCCCCTCTTCTCCTCATTCCCCTGGGGCAGAGACAAACTACTACCAGTCGCCTATTTTTGTAAATAAAGTTTTCCTGGCCCACAGCCATGCCCATCTTTTGCTGCTTTCACGCCTCAGACAGAGTTGAGCAGAATCGCCCCAGGTGAGATACCCCCCCGGTTCAGGGGAGTCCACTGACCCCCAAGAGACTCTAAGTCCCATGACCATCTACACATTTAAATCCATAAACTAGGCAGGAACACTTCAGGCCTGGGCAACATAGTGAGTCCCTGACTCTAAAAAAAATAAATCCACACACTGAGTGGGTAGGGAGGGAGGAGGCGAGTTCCAGGAACTGGGGGTCACCTGGTCTGCCCAATCAGGAGTTTATTCCGGTGTCCATTGTGAGCAGGGAGAGGACTTAATTTTTTCCCAAATAATTAATGCAGGGTGTCTCCACCTTGGCACTGTTGACATTTTGGGTGGATAATCCTGTCCTGGCCACTGCAGGTGCTGAGCAGCGTCCCTGACTCCACCCACTTCGTGCCAGGAGCACCCTCAGTCATGACAACCACAGATGTCCCCAGACATCGCCAACTGCCCCAATTGAAAATTACTGACAGCCACTAAGTGGGAAAGGAAGGTTCCAGTCAAGACAAGTCAGCTTTTTCTGGCCAAATGACTTTGCCGTGAACTTTCGGAAAATCTGTTTGCAGAATATTTTGGGTTTCAGAGCTGCAGAAAAGGGACAGTGGATCAGTGGCTGAGAGCCACTTACTTAAGGTAAGTACAAGGCTCAGCCTGGTAAGTGATGCGGGTCTGTGGTTCTAGAACCTGCTACTTCCCTCCCCCCACCAAGCCGGGAGGACACAAAGATGGTTCTCAGATCTTCCTTCGACACCTGGATTTTCACATAAAAGGTTTTCTGCTCTTTGGAGCCAGGTGCAGCCAACGCGGGCCGGCGCGCTCCTTCCTCAACTGCGACGAGGCACACCCAGCGTCTTTTGAACAATCACAACTTGTGGGGTTCTGGCTGCGGGACAACATTCCCAGAGAAGGCCCACTCTTTCTCTGAACAGTGAGGGCTTTATGGGCGCTAGACACCACGGCCCGGCCTGGTGTGAGAGGCGGAGGACGCGGCGGTGAGGGTGCAAGGACGCTGGTCCCCGCAGGGTGGGGGTGCCAGCGCCAGCTCCCCTCCGGTGGGCTTCAGGATCCCTTTCAGCTCTCAGTCTATGACTACGTATCACCTTTTCATTGTCTCACTACCATAAAAATAAAATGAAAACAATAGCCTCTATTCCTATCTTACTTCCCTGCCCAGAACAGATCATTCAAAGGGAAAAATGGCATGCCCCACCAACGTGAGGTCATTTTGCCTCCCTACACCCCAGGAAGGAGAGGTACCCCCTGCCCACCCCTATCCTAGACCCACAGCAAAGGCAGGAAGCTGGCTGCTCCGTTCCTGCCCCCATCTTGGGACATGTGAGTTCTACCTCAGTCCCATTCACTCCCAACACGAAAGCCGTGTTTTCTTCTAAAATGTCACCAGGATGTCATCATGCATGTAAAAATCCTCCACTGCTCCCTGGAACCTCACGAGCATGCAAGGAGGTCCCTCACCAGCCGGTGTTGTCTGCAGGGCCCACTCTGAACCCTGCATGCGCCACTCGAACTCAAGCGCTCACCTCTCCTTTGACTCCTCTGGGAAAGAAAACTCACTGCTGCAAATCCCGAGTCCTTGTCCTACCTCCGCCAGCATGTCTTACCAGGTTCTATACTCCTTTATGGGGCCTGTCTTTCCTTTGAGCCCCTACACCCGGGAATGTCTAACCCGTGCAGACTCAGGGACACATTAGATCATTGGCAAATTCAGAGCCACGCGATCAAGTTCCGTGGAGATGTCACCCGTCTCTGAGTCTTGGTTTCTTCCTTGGTAAAAGACAGATTCTGTCCTGCCTACCTACCAAAAATTCTGTCAGCCTTTACTGAGCATTTCCAATCAGGGCCACTGTTGGGTGTTGGCAAAAAAAAAAAAAAAATGTAGAATTGAGTAGACTACAGCTCTCAAAGATTCTCTGATCTTGGGCAGAGCTTATGCCTGCCTGGAGTCATTCATGCTTCTAGGAAGATTTAATCATAAAACCTCTCTTCAAATCCTTGGCGTGCCCAGGACTTTCCAGGCATCCAGCTAAGTGCTGTGCATGCAGCGGCTTATTTCAGGGGCCAGCAAAGGTTTTCTGGAAAGGGCCAGAGGAAAAACTTTCACCTCTGCAGGCCATAGGATTTTCTGTGACAACTACTCAACCATACCCTTGTAGCTCAAAATCAGCCACAGACAATGTATAAAATGAAGGAACGTGGCCATGCTCCCAGAAAACTTCATTCGCAAAACAGGCTGCAGCTGCATTTGGCCCTCTGCTCACAGTTTTTGGGTAGGTTTGTTTTTCTCTCGCTCTGTGGCCCAGGCTGGAGTGCAGTGCCACAATCACAGCTCACTGCAGTCTGGAACCCCTGGGCGCAAGCGATCCACCTGCCTCAGCCTCCTGAGTAGCTGGGACTACAGACGTGAGCCTTCGCACCAGGCCTCTCTGGTCAGTTTGCTGAGACCTTAGGTAGTTTCATCCTCACACACCTGAGGTGGTTATTATTATAATCCCCATTCTACAAAAGAAGAAAACTGAGGCTTAGAAAGATAGGGCCCATCCAAGGTTACCCAGCTATGACAACGCAAATCAGTTCTGAACCCAGGCAGGATGGCTCTAGAGCCTAAAATCCAAAGTGCCCTTTCCTCTCCCCACAGAACTGGGCGCACACACAGAACCCTGCGCACAATTTCATGGGCTTACACACCCCCTGCTGCCCACACTGGTGAAGAATCCCTGGTCTAGGGTAGGGTTCTTTTTTTTTTTTTTTGAGACGGAGTCTCACTGTGTTGCCCAGGCTAGAGTGCCGTGGCGTCATCCTCGCTCACAGCAACCT